GAAATGGGGAGAACTAGCTTCGCACTAATTCAAATATTTTACTCAAAGAGTAAAGAGAATAAAAATACAATGTGGTACTGCATTACAAGGCCCTTGGCCGAAATAAATAAGGGGAAGAAAAACTAAGGGGAAGCTTCTTACCACTTTCCTAGAATCAAGTGTATAATATCCATTTGTTTGATGCCTTTGGTTTGTCTTAATTGATCAGTGTTAAAGGGTGACACTACAAAATTTCGCTAACTCTGCGATAGAAAAAATCTGTCGCAAACACTCTACTTCGGTCGCAGATCAACAAATTGTGACAAACTTGCGACGGATTAAATCCGTCGCAAATAAATTGTCGCACTTTCTATATTTGCGACGGAAGTATGATACTGTCGCAGTTTTGCGACGGCATCTGCGACGGAATTACAAGATCCTTTGTTTGCGACAGAACTTTAAATCCGTAGCAAATTGCGACAGAATCTGCGACAAAGTTTCTGCATTCTTAATTTGTTGTTTGCGACGGAATAATTCCGTCGCAGATGCACCAGATATCAGAACCAGAATCTGCCTCAATTCCTTATGACCAACAACACAATAACAATGAAACAATACAGCATATAAATAACAGCAGTGAAATAACACAGCATTTGTCAAATTCATTAAAATACAAATATTTTCTCAATTCATGGTCAATCACAACAGAGTATTCGTTAAAACACAATTCAAAAAATACATTTTCAATCACAGCACAATATTCAATAAAACACATAAAGGTCATAACTTATTCATGCCACACAACCAGTTCCTGAGCCTCCCATACCATCGTCAGGGTCTCGAGGTGTCGGAAGATTTCCACCACACATTCTTTGAATTTGTGTAGCAACTGTGAACTCAATCTTATCCAACCTTGTCTTCATGACCTCATTCTCCGCTCTCACGCGCTCAATCTCTGAAATATTACTAGTACTCTTTCTTTTGCCTTGATATATAGGTTTAAGGGGTTTCATTTGATCGGCAAGATCTCCGACTTCCTTAATCCAATTCTTTTGATCAAAGCCACCAACTACCTCAAACCAAATCTCCTGATCCGTGACTTTAAGGCCTGACTCCTCAGCCATTTGTTTCAATTGTACAAAATTAGCCTGTACAATGAAATACATAATGAAAATAATAAACATATGGATTATATGTAATCATCACATTGTCGCATTGTAAACTTAAGTTTAAATAATAAGAAGTATGCATTGTATACTTATAATTTTTTTTAAAATAGAATATTGAAAAGATATAAGTGTTCTAGTATGTATGAAAACCATGCCTGGAACTCTCGCCAGTAAAAATCTCGCGTCTCTGGCCCAACATTTTTCCACTTTGTCCCTTCAGGATCCCCTCTCAAATAAAATGAGGGTGTGACTAGGTGACACGCAGCAGTAGTGATCTTAACCCTTGCATGATTTCATAAAAAAATCAATATATGTGATAAATTGATAATGATATATTAAACTTTTTTTAAATTTTCATCATAACTTACTTCCCATTAGGAACGTATACATGTTGATCCCTCACTAGAGGGTCCAACTGCTCATCCTCCTCATCGTCCTCCTCTTCTCGGTCATCCACCTCATTTTCTCTATGCTCACTCTCATTGTCTGAATAGTGTAAATTGGACTCAGGTACTAATGTATGCGATCCTGCAATTATTAATATAAACATTTTTCATTACATATGAATGATTCAACATGAATAATTGGGAAGATAAATAACCCTACCAGCGGTGCTAGCACCAGAATGCAAAGGTGTGTGTGACGTGGTCGGAGGTGATGCTGAAGCATCCATCTCATTGGCCAAGGGGTTGCTACAACCTCCTTCGACGTCGTCTCGGGATCGACTCATGAAATTTTTTGATGAAATTTTTCTTATCTTTACGAAACGGGTGATCAGTCGGAAGAAATCGTCGATGTGAGTCAAACCAGGATTGTTTGCCACCATTAGGCAATCTAAAAGACTCAAGCTGATCCATGCAAACAGGACATGCTTCTTTTTGAGGAACATGTGTGCTATCCTCATGTCGTTCAAGTCGTCATCGTTTTGGAGGAACATAATCACCGTGCTTTTCTCTGTGACAAACCCAATCATAATAATTTGGAGTGAAACCAAATCGCAGGATATGCTCTATTATGGTTGCAATACTTCCAAATTTTAAATTCTTACATGACTTGCACGGACAACGCATGTTATTCTTAGACTGATCGGCATTGGGATTCGAGGAACAAATATCCACAAACTTCATGACATTGTCAACCCATTCTTTACTAACTACACCTTCAGATTCAAACTTATTATACATCCATTCACGATCACCAAATCCAGACATTGTAGCAAAAATCGACACTGTTTAATACAAAACAATCACAAATTCAACAATGCAAAAAGTACCGCTTACGATAACCAAAATTTTAAGAGATAAGTTAAAGAAGTTTTTAATAACAAAAACTTACAAAAATTCCTAGATTCATATGAAATAAACAATTTTCTAGAATCATATAAAATAAAATCTTATAATCAAATCAAAATTTCTTATGATAAGCTTATATAATTACCAAAAAATAGCATAGAAAAAAACATATGATAAATTTCATAAAATAAATTTAATCCACTTTAACTATCAAATTTAACAAAAAAATTTAGCAAAGATAATACAAACTATAAACACAATACTTTTTTAATAATTTACACTAAATCAAATCATCATTATCATGCAATCACAAAAAAAA